AGGAAGTAAAATAAGAAATAAGAAACAAAATTGAAAGTAAACCAACGTTAGTATCATATGAGGTTCAATTCTCACAAGGGAACTTGAATTCTCCTCATGCATATTGTTCAAATGAAGTTCAATTTTCCTCATGCATACGGGTCAAGGGAACTTCAATTCTCACAAGGGACCTGAAAAGAAAGGGAAGAAGGGAGAGTTAGCTGGGAAATGATTTCTTTAGAAAAGAACTAAGAAACAGAGATGTACAAATCCGAAAAATCTTTCCTCTTTGTTTTTACTTTTCTGTATAAAAGAATATTCAATTTTCAATTAGTACAGAGTAGAACTTAATGTCACAGTCTGACATCTTCAATTCGAAGGTGACAAAGCACTACTTTCTCCACACAGACAGCCATCTCATGTTCAAAAAAATTACTACACTACTTGGGTGCTTACAGTTATCGGGTCAAGTTCTACTTTGATACCAGCAATTTTTGGGAACAAAGTAGTCCCTTAAACTGTGCATTCTGTTTGGAAAATGAGCACATGAGGAACACAAGCAACAGTTGAGACTTTTTAGATGCAAAAATCACCTCAAATGTGCCCTTGACATGCTCATTTCATCGAATCGAAGTCGACAAAATTAAAGCCATATTTGACGACTAAGATTGGATTGAATTATGGGATTGCATTGTATTAGATTGTATTGGATTGAAGAGGATTACACAAATTCAATGACATGTTTAATAGTACTACACATGATTAAAGGGCTGGATAAACTAAAATATGTTCTTACATAGTCTGGCAGCATAATCCAATCCAACTTAATCCCAAATTTTAAATAGGATTCATAATCCTACTACATTTTTGCCTAGGATTATATGGTTAGTAGATGACTGAAGAAGCAAAATTAATAAAACTGTGACTACATCATAGTAGAGCTTCACTCCAAACTGGACGAAAATCATTACAAAGGCTACACCATATTCTGAATCCAAAATGTGGTCGAAAAACCAATGAATATCTAAATATGACAATAACCCAGGCAACACCCTCTAAACAAAAACACGTCTTATTTTATTCAAAGCATCTATCACCTCCACCATTGATGATGAAAAAAACCCATTTGAATCCCACTATCCATTTTTATAATTTATATACAGTCCCCAACCAACCAGTTTGATATTGGCATGCTGTCCATACATCCTATCCTTTATTCAATTTCATTTTGACCCAATCTGTAGACACTTATTGAAGCCACAGGCAGGCACAAATATAATTGTCAAAATCCTCAACATATGCTCATCCACTCCATAATTACTTTTATTTTGAATTCTGTTACATGTATGCTTTCTCCAAAAACTGGATCACCATCAAGCAAGCAATTCTGCACGACACATCAGAGTATAAATTACACAAACATACGTTAGTGACGAAAGAGATAAAAATTGCCAAAAAATGCATACACACCTAACAAGACTGTAAAAAAAATTGCAAGACCAGCCATTGTATTTTAAATTTTTCCTAAATTAACATGTGAAAGACAAATCCTTAGATTATTTCTTTTTTTAGTGACCCCCAACTGCACAATAAACTATCAAACCCGTATCCCGATTACATCCAGCACCAGAAGAAAGCCAGAAACTCTTTTATACAAGGCTTTTAAACACTATGGCCAACAGGTAATTTCTGGCACTATTTAAACAATGAGAGCAGCAGACCACCAACTTTTCATGTAAAGAAAGGCCATGTTATGAGTAAAACCAGAAGCAGGAACTAAGTGAGACTTGAAATCATGATAAAGTGCACAACAAAAGAAATTGGATAATACAACTTTTTAGTTTTCAGCCTCATGTTCCACAAAAGCTACAATCAACTTGAAAAATGAAATTACAAAAAGTAAATTCATAATTTCTATATCATTCAAGGGAAATAAACAGTGCTGGGAACTTTATCAAACAAAGAAAAACTCAAGGTACATGAACCACACCTTTCAAACCACTGGAGTATTCCACTTGCAATTGAAACACCAGCATGAGAGCTGCGCATATGTTCTTGATGTAAAAAAATCCTGCACATATAGGCAAGATTGAAGCAGACACATCATTTTTCAGTGATTCATATAGGCAAAATCATACAACACTGCCATTAATCAATATGATCATCAACTACTAAAGAAAAACATTCAGTTTGTCTAAGTTCACAGTCCCATTTACCACTGCAAGACAAATTACAGAACATTATGGTATCAAGGTGTGGTCATCATGCATAATGGCTACTACTTTACTGATAGGCCATCCCTGTTGTATACAAAACTTTGTATTTGTTATTTGACAACTTAACCTTCTGATTAGAGGTCTGCCATAAATGAACTATTACATTTATGGAAAGCAGTTGTAGTAAAGAATCAGAATCAAACCAGAGCAAAAACTTACATTGGAATGTTGAAACGGCGTTATTCACCTTATGTGTAGATCAGCAAGAAAGTCTGACAGCCTGAAAATGCCAAAAATTTAGTAAGAAAAGAAAATTAAATGATCGAAAAAAATAATCAGAAGGCACAAAGCAAACCTAATATTTGTAGCTATCACCGTCTGACCATCTTCATTTCCAAGATGGCGCAGTGCTACTTCCTCCAGACGGCCATCCCTGTATGCATGCTGCAATCAGACAACAGCCATGTTCAATGCATAATTATTGTAAGTAAACAGGACCTGCTCCAGAATAGAAAACAAAAATACACACAAATGAGACACGGATAAGAAATGTAAGAGCACAAGAGTGAACACCACATTTGAACAGACAACAGACCAGCTCAGGAAGTAAAAAGTAGATGCAAAACATACTTTGAGATGGAAATGTGCACATGACAGTAGAAGGAATATAATCTGAAAAGTACAGAAAATTCAGGAGGTTACCATACAAGAAAAAAAGTGTCATCAGTGACAGCCCAAGGCGACAACAAAGTGACTTCAAAAAGTACCTCAACTTAGAGAAACCTCAAATAAAAGCCGTGTCGCATATAAAACAAGAAGAGATTGCCATATACATCCAACAACCCAAACTTTATGGGCCAAACACAAAAATACGACAAAATGGTGATTGGTCAGAAAGATTGTACAACTGAAAAATTAAAGCACAAATGCAAATCATAGCCATATAACAGTTTCTTTCCTTTTCATTTTTATCAGTTAGACTGGATGCCTTTGAAAGTTATAAAATGGTTAGCATAAATATCACGTCACACCAATAAAAACTATTAGAGATTCAGAGAACATAACCCCATCACTGGAGAATAAATCTATATTTCATTCATAAATAGGAGTTGTCAAAATACAAACTACAATCAAAACACAGCAACTCCAAAACCCATAAGGAAATTTGAGAAGATACAACTGGCTAAATCTAGTAGCTCACGGGCCATAAATCTATCTCATCTTCACTCGAGTCACTTGTATCAAAACCCATGTGCATTAACAACTCCCTCTCCAATGGGTTTAAATCTTCATTTTCTAAATCTTCAAGTATATAATCATCCCATTCTTCTAAGTGCTCGAACATATGAAATATGACATCCATAGGCACAATATCATATCGCCGTGGAGGAGGCCTTCTTGGAGGTGGCCTGTGAAATTTCCATACATATGAGCCTGGCTTGACCGTATGCTGGAACACAAAAAATTCTACCCATTAAAGGTGTCACAAAGCTAATCCTCTCCGAGATGAAAGTAAAATGAAAACAAAAAACGGCACATGATTCTAAGGCCAACATTCAGGAGAAGCTAGTTTGATGCCTCTCCTCGAATATGACCAAATACAACTATAAAAGCAATAGAAGGTTTTAATTTCCATGACAGACTATGTCAATAACACAGGAGGGTGAGAGAGAGAGAGAGAGAGAGAGAGAAAGAGCATTACTTCTGTTTCCCCAAGTATCAATTATTAAAAGCACAGATTATTTTCAAAATCGCAAACAAGCATCAAATTGATATTCACTTAGTATATTGATGTAGACCTTAGCAATGACAAACTACATCAGTCAGTTTTTACAATTCATCAGTGTCAGTTACGTCAAGGATGGAAAACCTTTGCCAATAGGTATATCATAAAAAGCATGACCATAGTAAACCTCAAGAAGACCATACAAACGTCAAATGACCAATATTGAGTTGAGGTATTTGCAATGAAAAGGGAAAGAACAAGTTACATATTGAACCAGAGGAAAGAGGAAAGATCCAAGAATAAGACCCCAAATGTATAAGAGAAGCCTAAAAAATAAACAAACAGATATCATGATGCTCCTATTGCCCCAAAAGTATTTATACCAAATACTAGTATTACGTAGAAAGCAATGTGTTGTCCTATATAACCCCGTGTTATTAAACCGAGGCTTGGTTGATTTTGGTTATAAGGAATCTAGAGGGAGCCATCTGACTATAATTTTTATCATGCAGACACAATTGCAAGCCCTTGGAAGCCTGAAAGACATCTCAACAGGTTATTCAACAACTGGTAATGCATTGATTCTACATGTTATTAGAGTCCAAGACCGACCAGAAACAACAGGCACAAGGACAGAACATGTGCAAAGATTAAAGGGAAAAATGCGTACAAGAAATTAAAGTTCTTAAAGACCGAATACAACCACATCAGTAAATGCAGTTATATAAACTCTGGACTATATAATAATAAATACATTCTTTTCCTGCTCCAACTATGTTGCATGGGGATGGGCATAAATCAGACAAAATATTTAAACACAGATATTGCAAAGGCCTGAAAGACCAAAGCATCAAGTGTATATAAACAGCAGTATAACATATACCACATAAAAACTCAATACGCAACCCCTTATCCCCACCTACCACTCACTCATACAAGTGCAGGTACTTCAACACATGATTGGACTTGGTGACACGGAAATAATGTTTTCATCAAATGAACTAAGAGTAGTATTAGTTAAAGAAACGTGCTTCATCAATAAAATACAAATCACAATATATTGATCTCAATATCCTCAGGTAAATAACAAAAGGCCACCTAATTAGGCCACAAAGAAGGCATCCACCCGCAATCAATCACAACAAAAAATAATAATAAATAAAGCAAGTTTCAAAATAAGCAAATAAAATCAAAGGGGCCACACCAAAATCCATCACAAAGTATATCAAATGGCTCCACAAACACAAGGAATAAAAAGATAAGGGGAACAGAGTTTATGATTTTAGGTTTGGGGCTTAAGAGGCAAGTAGACTAGCCATCACATACTTGTCCAAGTCATCAGTAGATTCTTTACATGGTAAATTGCACTCAACATAACAGAAAAACCAATGTGAATGACAATTGCAGCAGCATAATTCACTGTAGCATTTCTATTACCTTATAAAAGCAACTAGTTCCAAATGGGCAGTTCCCATTTCCAAAATCGAAGTGCTTGCAATCAATTGACCTGCAAGATAAAAGAAATATAAGCACAAACAAAACAAAATATAATGAGAGAGAGAGAGAGAGATTCCACTGTTTCCCACTCTCGAGGCCTTTCCAACTTCAAATCAAAAGAGCAATACAAAGCTGTTATTTCTGTCCTCCAAATTCAGTATTTTATATATAAACAAAAGTTAAACTATAATATTTCCATTCTGAAAAAATAAATTGTGAAAAATATCCAAGGTACAACACAGTGCACTGCTAATTGAACCGCAGCTTTAAAAAGAACAAAAGGACAATTAAGCACAAAATTACCTGAGCCTTGACTTGTAGCTGTCAATAATTTCCTGTTTCTCTTCTTTTGTGTTATACCAAATGACACTTGGAATGACAAAGTATGACAGCTTCCGACATATTGGGCACGCTCTCAATGCACTATTGACATCCATACCAGAAGTTGGGGAACTACTACGCCAATTTCGAATACAAGATACGCAAAAAGGATGATCACATTCTGAGAGTATCCCAAACTTCCGCTCAGCAACTGTGGGCTTTGACAAAACACGTTCCAGGCAAACACTGCATTCTATTTCTTGACTGCGTTTCAAAGCCTCAAGTTGCTTCTGCTTTTCCTCACATGTCTTCATATGCTCCTCCCTTTCCATAGGTCTGTAAGGATGCAAGCAATGTTTTCCACAGCTGGGGCATATATCTCCATGAATATGAGGACATTTTTCTCCACGAGGACAATTACCCGCTGCAGCAAATGAACAAATAGCATGATCTTCTGGCCTAGTACTCCTAGTCGCCCCAGCACCATCATCATCATTGTCACCATTATCATCATAATCATCATCATCCAGGGAACCATTCCAGGCAGGCTTAGAGGGAGGTAAGAAAGGACTACTTGAAGCAGAGAGTTCCGAAAGAATTCCCGGGGCAAGAGCAACTCCACTTGATGAGGTTCTTGAAGGATGAGCCAGAGATAAAGAATCAACAGCCAGAGATTGCTGAGAAATTGTTGATGAAGACGAACCAGAAGACTGAGCCCGAGAAGCTTTAACATGTTCATATCTGCATCGACTACCAAATGCACAAGCGCCTTTCTGATAAAAGGTACATATCTGTCATGATGAACCAGAAAGCAAAAAGTTTAGAAGGTAATAATAACTGTTGATTGTTATTACTTAACACAAATGCAACTAAGGGTAAGTAGAATAAATAGTTTACATTATTTGGTGTTGCCTTCCAATCATGTGAAAACTCACAATGCTCCCCTTTCAAACAGGCTCCATGGGCAAAAAATTTGCAGAGAACCCTGAAGAAAATTGAAATGACAAAAGAACTAGTTCAATTACCGTCAACAAAGACCAACCAAATGAGCCATGGAATGCCTCTTGAAATGTGACAATAAAGAAGTTTGCTAAAACACTATTAAAGGATTTGATCAAATATTCATAATTTCACAGATATAATTTCACAAATGCATTCCTTTCCAATACCACCCCAACTCTTCAGATAAGTTCTAAAAAACCAAATGAAGAGCCACTTAAACTACATAAAAATAAAAAATAAAAAACAATATGAACTAAAGGAGTTTTACAATCACTTTTCTTTACATATCTTTAAATAATTCAGATTTCAAAATCATATCACGACTCAAAATTACTCATTTATCCAATATTTTGCACAAATGGGATTATACAACCATTTCATTGATGTTAAACAGAATGGAAAGGTGTTATAAATTCACAAAAGCAGCAAATATAAAGACAGAAAATTTATTTTCACGTGGGAATTTCCACAATATTGATTCCCAAAGGACCTCTAACCAACATTACCCAACAAATTAATCAAAGGACAACAACTCCAATACCAGTACTGTTCAACATTTCAAATTTAATTTCTTTTTCCTATTTTCATCCTCGTCATTTCCTCCATTTTCTCAGCAACCAATTAATTTTTAAAAAATTTAAAACAAAATAAAAATTAGCAATTCCAAGAATCTTTTAGGAACAGAAAAATACCAAATTCAGCAAATTACATATGTAAAATCACATATCCAAAAATTAGAAGATTCAACAATATTCATTTTACGATCAATGGTCATCTTCAAAACAAAACTCACCTTTTGGACATGGCGATCAAGAAACCGAGGGATAAGCCAGAGCCTTTCCACAGGAACAAAAATTGGAAACCCTGAAAAGCTTGAGAATGATAAAGAAACAGAGGGAGCAATGAATCAACAAGTCTTAATTATTCATTCCGAGTCTCTGACAAAAGAGAGAGAGGAAAAAGTCTCTCTGCGAGTCTCAAAATTGTGAGTATCTAGGGTTTTTTTGGCGGTCGGTGTACGATATGAAATGGCCATTGGTTTTGGGATATAATTACGGGCATACCCCTATGCACAGAAGAGGATTGAGAATCGCGGACGAAACGGTAGGTTGTAAGAAATTATGGTATTGGTGGGTCGGGTGCGACCAAAATAAGAAATAACGGAGGGCCGAAACGCAAATATTAATAAATAATTATAAATTTTCTAAAAGAAAATAGACAGATTTTGTATGAAAAACAAGAAAGTTCTATATTGACATCCATGCGACTCGTATTCTCCATGGGTTCACGCTATAATTAAAGCAAAGGCATATAATTTCAAATTTTCATTTTAGATTAGATTTATTTAGAGTCATTTAGACTATTGTTTGTATAAAAAAATATATATTTTTAAAATTTTATGTGGATTATTAATTTTAGTCTCAAAAAAAAAAAATTACAATACAAACAATATTGAGAGAAAAGAGAACCAAATCTAAGACCTCTGATATAAAAGTAAAGACTATTAACCATTTGAACTAATAGAGCAAAGCAATGTTTAGAAGTTCCGACAAATAAATAAATAAATAAATACAACATTTTAAATAGATGTGGAGTAAAGACTATTAACTATTTGAACTAATAGAGCAAAGCAATGTTTAGAAGTTCCGACAAATAAATAAATAAATAAATACAACATTTTAAATAGATGTGGAGCCTATCAGTATATTTTAAAGATATTATACAATGTAGTACAATAATATGGTTTCCTAAGTATTTTTCTTGCGAACAATATACAAACTTATATTGTATTAACTTTCGGAGCATACACTTCATGTATAAAACTTTTCATTTAGTGGAAAAGTGCCTTGATTTGCAGACTATAAGTCTCAAGTTCAAATCCTTATGACATCTTAGTTGTGTGTGTGAGTTTAGACTATCGCTTATAAGTTGTACTAAAAAATAAAAATAAACCACTTTTCGGCCTTATTTAGTGGCTCAACCTAAATTAAATTGAAATTTAGCCCAAGTTAGTTTTTGTGAGTCTTATTCATCATAATAGGACTTATAATATGTTGAATTCTTGTCCATTTTAATAAGTTCAATTCCAACATTTATAAGTTCAACAAACAAATTGCACCGAACCATGACATTCGTCAAACTCAATTGAAATAGAGTACATAGCGAGCCACCAAACGAAGTCTTCTTATATAGGAGAATCTAGACATCTTCAAATATTATGAAGAAAAAAAACCCTCCAACACCAAGAATTAGTTCGTGAATAATAAACATTGATAAACATTTTAAAGAAATAGAGGGAGATAGTATGTTACACTGTCACTAACGCTGTTGTAGCCCATCCATCCTAAGGGGTCCCTCTTGCGGTTTGCATGATTGGTCAATGGCCAAATACCCCAACTTTTTCCCACCACATGGGATAAGGAAAATCTTAAATTAAAGATAAGAAAGACAAGGAAAGAACCACAACCCTCTATCCAATCCCATCCCATGGCTACCATGTTCTCCCCTTCCACCTTCTTCTCTGCAACCACCACCAACACCCCCAATACCACCATCACTTCTCCAAAACCACCTCAAACTCCACCACCATCCAAATCCCACCTCTCCATCCCACCCTCCAAACCACTCCTAACTACCTTAACCGCCACATTAACAGCCACCGCTGCCACCGCCGCCATCCTAACCGCCACTCCACCCTCATTAGCAGACTCCACAGCAGCAACAACTTACCAAGTCTACTACGGCACTGCCGCCAGCGCAGCCAACTATGGCGGCTACGGTGGCAACTCTAACAAGAAAGACTCCGCCGAGTATGTCTTTGACGTGCCAGATGGTTGGAAAGAGCGTTTGGTATCAAAAGTCGAAAAGGGTACATATATACATATATACGCTACTATACATTTGTTACGAGGCTTAATTATATATATATATGTTATGTTATGAGACTGTGAATCTAAATAATAAAAAAATCTGACTCGGTTGCTTTGTTGATGAACAGGTACGAATGGAACTGATAGCGAATTTTATAACCCGAAGAAGAAGTCAGAGAAAGAGTACTTGACGTTCCTTTCTGGGTTTAGGCAACTAGCACCAAAGGACTTGGTACTGAACAATTTGGCTCTGTCAGATGTGAACTTGCAGGACTTGCTAGCTAGCGCGGACAATGTGACGTCGGAGGAGAAGAAGGACGAGAAGGGACAAGTTTACTACGTGTATGAAATCGACGGCGTTGCTGCTCATAGTTTGATTTCAGTGACTTGTGCTCAGAACAAGCTCTATGCTCATTTTGTGAATGCGCCTACGCCTGAGTGGAACCGTGACCATGACATGTTGAAGCATGTTCATGAGTCTTTTAAAACTATTGGCTCCTTCTAGTTTGCGTTGATGCCTTCTTTTTCTTCTAACAATGTGGTTCTGCTGTGCACATTTGAAATACAATATAGATTTCAATTATGAAATAAAAAGACTTCTGATCCCACCTGTCCATGGGCTTTCTCATCTGCTTATACAATTTTACAAGTGCTGGAGTTGGGGGGAAAAGAGCCAAAGGAATTTGAAGTAAATCTTTTCAGATTTTATGTGGATGGGTGGTTGTTAGAATTTGGAAATAAGATTTGTAAATGTAAGTGCTATGAGTTATGTGGGGCTTACATATATAGGCTATAGCTTAGCTTCTGCATATATGAGAAGCTCCCTGTTAATCATTTTCGTCTACTTCAACCATTTTCGAACACCTCATGGCATTATACGTGTGTTCGAGGCTTCTATCATTTATGTATGATTTGATTTCTCGTACAACGCCCCTTATTTTGAATGACTTTCGTTTTCTGAAGTGTCCAAATTGAATTAGCAAAATGATGAACAATTGGCTGAATGCCAATGTAGTTTTGATGGACTTCAAGTTAACCAAAACAGAGGATTATTTCAAATTTCAATGGACTCTGCTCACATCCATCAAAGCAAAGTTGAATGCAAAAAGGAAATTACAAAAGCAGATTGATATAGGCATTTGTGAACCATATAACATACTCTAAATTAACAAGTGATGATACATTAATTATTTGAAGCAATTGAATTGTGGTTGTGGCTAACTAATACAAAGTGAAGCCATCATCATAGGAAACATGGCATCCCCTTTGACAAGGTGTGGCATTTTCATCATACTCTTGACAACAGCTCCATCTCTTCTTCCAATTCCCACTTCCAGTGTTTGGTCTCTTGCTCTTCTCATTCCATCGGTACACAATAACTCCAGACCTATCACTCCACTCTCCATCAATCCCTTGGTGTGGTGGGGCGATTGCAAATAATCCCTTCTCTCCTACACAATCCAAAACCAATTATCATTTTAATGCGCTTATTCAAAAACGAGTTTACTCTGAATCTCATTTATTTCTAACAAGAGTTGTGACACATTATTTAACGAACAAATTTATTGTTACTATTTATATCATTCAATCATAAGGAAAGATACTTTTAGTAGGCCTCACATGGTCCCAATGAGCATGTGGGGGCAGAAATCAAAAGGCGAAGCATCTGAATTTGTGATATGTATATTACCAGTGGTGTGGCCATGAAAGGAGCAAGCAGTAGGGGAATTGTCTTTGTCTGTGTAGGGGGTGTTACACCTCAAGCACCGCTTCTTCGTTTGGGTTTGGGATGTGCTTGTTTTGCCGTCGCTAATATTTGAGCTCAGCTTGATCTTTGAGCTATTTGATGTCCTGCATAAGAAGCTTTGAGGAATACCCAGAGCCAGAGCCATGAAAAATGTTCTATTGTTGTGAGAGACAGAGAGAGCTGCTGAAATGAAATTGAGGTACCGGAAAGGGGGTGGCATGTTTCCTATGATGATGGCTTCGCTTCTGTGGTTGAACAATCTGGGTCAGCCCATTTTTATTGGCAGTGCTAAAAAGCCCAGTTTTTTTTTTTTGTGTGGGTTTGCCCTCCACCCGTGAATCTAAGCACTACACCCAGCTTCAAAAAATAAAATCCAAACAGCCCAGTTTTAAAAACTCAAAATTGACTAATCATATCTTAAGTTATTAGATTATTGAAAATGTTTAGATGTTGCGAAAGAGATGAAACACTCAAACATAATTAAAGACGTTACTCTGTCACTCAAACATGATGTTGGGCAATTGCTCTTGTTTTTTCCCCCAAAGGACTGCACGAATAAATTTTTTAAGAAAGGTCTTAATTATGTAAAAATAAAAGTCTATAACTTTTTTTTAAAACAAAAGAAATTATAAGAAAGGACTTAATAGAGATGTGGGCTGATTGGGTTTTCTTTAATGGGCTTAAGCATATATGTAAACTTGTCTTGCACTCCAAGACTTAAAAGTCTTGTGCATCAAGTCGCATAGATAAAATCTTTGTATATATATTGAGTGGCTGATCAATGGAAGATGATCTCATTTTTCTTTCATCATTTCCTTCTCATGGTTCTTTCACATGGAGCATAGCCAAATCGTTCAACAGCTTTTGGAGAGGGAAAACCCCAAAGCCGCCCCAACCCCCTTCCTAACTGGCAATGGCTTCTTACGTTGTATACCATTCCACTCATTCTATTCAAGCTCTCCACCCCAAAGCAATCCTTGCCCATGAGAGGAAAAAGCCAAAAAAATCCTTGATCAACTAATTTACCCACCAAACTCGCCCTCATCTAATATCGCTTTTTGAAACATACTCGATCTGTTTATATAAACTTTTTCCAATGCTCACCTCTTGAAAATACAACGCGTGCCAATTCATTTTATTTGCACATATAATCACTTGTTTGAATCACATCGTAAAATCCACCGATGACATTTGGAAAATTTTAACATAGTGATCATAGTGGTTGTTTTTCTTACCGACAGTAATTAGATAGTACAACGGTGAGCATGTGCCTAATATAAAGATGAAGATCAACGAGACTTGTAGCTCGAGTGGTAGAGAATTTCTCCCACACCCTTTTCTACACCCGAAAGGAAAAACGAAAAAGTTCAATATACTTTTTGGGTTTAGGGCACAAGCATATACGGTATCCAAACTATTCAATTTTTTGAGCCTAGCCCAACACATCTCCCAAGTTGGGCTAACCCATTACATAGTCGTCACGGCGCCGTCTACTTTGACATACAG